ATAGAAGGTCAGTATAGAAGGTCAAAAGCGTATGAGAAAAAGAAATTAATACCAGATAAGGTAGTAACAGGCCGAAAAAGCATTAAGACAAAGAATGACACTTTATAGTGATAAAAGGTTCAATCCACAGTGAGGTGTAAGTTTTATCTTCATACAAAATAACAACAGTAACATTTAAAAAGCTGAAATCATAGCAGTTATTAGGAAAACACCACACATCAACAGCAGTCTTAATTCACCTTAGTCCAGAACCCCTGGGTAGAGAAAAAAAAGTCAAGAAAATGGAGAAACTTAATAAAAGTTAATTTAATACTGTAAACTTCCCTGATCAATACATCTAACTCTGTACCATAAAAACAGAGAACGTAACCTTTTTAAAAAAAAATGCTTGGGGGGGAGGGGCGTCCCCCACCTGGGTGGCTTAGTCAATTAAGTGTCCAACTCTTGGTTTTGGCTCAGGTCATGATCTCATGGGTCATGAGATGGAGCCCAGCATTGGGTTCCTAGCTCAGTACGGAGTCTGCTTGAAGATTCTCCCCCTCTGTCCCCCACCGCGCCCCCACATGCTCTCCCTCTAAAATAAATAAATAAATCTTAAAAAATAAATAAATCTTAAAAAAAAAATGCTTGTGGAATATTCACAAAGACTGACTATATAATAGGCCATAAAGAAAATTTCAAAAAAATCCAAAAAGTCTAGGCTGTATTTTTCATTCATAATGTAGTAAAAATATGAATTATTAACCAAGTCAGACAAGAAAACAGAACAAAAAAAGTCCCACTTTCTGGAAGTTTCAAACCTCTCTCAGATACCTCCTTAGGGAACAAAATGAAACTTAAAACTACAATTGGAGAATTTCTAAAAAACAAAAATAGAAATCACCACTTGTCAGAACTACAATATACAGCTAAGACCATTCTCAAGACAACATGTTAAATGCCAAAAAAGTAACAAAATGAATGAAGGAAAGCAAGAGAGGAGGAATTGGTAAAGATCAAAAGCCAAAAATAGTGAGTAAAAAAATAGTAAAATAGTGGAAAAAATTATAATTTGGAAGCTGGTTTTTTGGTAGGAAAAACAAAAATGGATAAACCTCTAGCTGACATGCTTAAGAGGAGAAAAAAGAAAAAGGAAGTACAAACACAGCGTTGTCTGTAATGGCAGACTGGAATGTCCAAAATGGTTAAATATAGTACATCCATAATTAGAAACACTGCAGCTTTAAAAGAACAAGGGAAATCTTTATATATGGATATGAAAGCTCTCCAAGATATATTATTAATGAAAATAGTAATGTTCAGAATGACAAGTACAGTAAGTTGCCCTTGTATAAAAAACAAGAAATACAAGAATTTATAATTACATTTTCTTGTACATGAAAAAGAAACTTAGAAGGATATATAAGAATCAAGACAGGGGTTTCTAGATGGAAAAGTGGAAACTGGGTATAAGGAGAAAAGGGTGGAAAGGATACTTTTCAGTGTTTGACACTTCTGGGTTTTGAGCCTCACTTATTTTTTAAAATGAAATTTTAGATTTGCATATGACCAACATTAATTCATCGAATATTTTCAAGCACTTACCAGAACTACACATGTTGAAAATATAAAAAATAAAAGATCCAAAACTCTCTTTTTATTTTTTAAGTAATCTCAACACCTAATGTGGGGCTCAAACTTACAATCCAAGATCAAGGGTTGCATGCTCTACCACTGAGCCAGCCAGGTACTTCAAGAACTCCCCAAAACTCCCTTTTTTTTTCCTTCCACATCTTACCCTTTTATTTTTTATTATTTTTTTATTAACATAAAATGTATTATTTACTTCAGGAGTACAGATCTGTGGAATCATCAGTCTTACACAATTCACAGCACTCACCACAGCACATACCCTCCCCAATGGGTTATGGACATTGGGGAAGAACTCCCTTTTAAAGAGCCTGTATTTTATACAGTTTGGTAAGGATACAGGTGGCAAAGCAATACTGGGAAATGTACCTGATTCTTCATACAAAGACGTTATGTTAAAAGTGCTATAACAGCATCTATATGTACATAATGGCATGAAGATGGCTGTTCAAAGATAGCTCTTGGGCTAAGATTTAAACGGTGAGCCAGAAATTTTCAGTGGAAAAATAAAGATTATCCCAGACAGATTAGAAGAGAGAGGCATGGAAGCAGAGAGTGGGAAGGGTATTGAAGAAATCAGGATTTTGCAAGAGAAGAGTGGACAGAATTCCCATCTAAAGCTGAAAGGGGGCTAGATAATAAGATAAGGCATTAAATACCATGGTATGTAATTTTATCACTGTCTACCTGTCCAATATTACTCTGAGTGCTGGAGATAAAGAAGTAAACATGGCCTCCTCCCTACAGCTTATTTAGTCTAGAGGACAACGTCCAGGGAAACAAGAAAGCAGTTCTTGCAACACTTTTCCCGTCTCTAAGCTCTTTGCACATACTCAGCTGCCTCCACGAGAATGCTCTCTCTACACTCCCCTTCCCCAGCCATCCCTGCCTACCTAATTCCTTTCTCAAGACTCACATTAAATGACCCTTGTTCCAGGCAGCCTTCTCAGACTCCCCAAACTAAATCAATCAGTTCCACTTGCTATATACTTCAAAGCATGCTGTTTTGATTCTTCTTGGTAACTGCACTTAGAAGTCTTTGTCTTTCTTCTTTTCTAAAGTGTAAGCTTTGTGAATACAAGAGCCTAATCTGTCCTATTTACCACTGTATCTCTAACACTAGTCTAGCACAGAATATAGCAGACTCTTAATGAATTAGTTAATAAATAAATAAATTTTAGGGACGCCTGGGTGGCTCAGTGGGTTAAGCCGCTGCCTTCGGCTCAGGTCATGATCCTGAGGTCCTCGGATCGAGTCCCGCATCGGGCTCCTTGCTCAGCGGGGAGCCTGCCTCTCGCTCCGCCTCTCTCTCCACCTCTGCCTGTCTCTCTGCCTGCATGTGTGCTTTCTCTCTCTCTTTCTGACAAATAAATAAAATCTTTAAAAAAAAAAAAAATAAATAAATAAATAAATAAATAAATTTTAGAACATAATCTTTTCTGATCACTCAGGTATATTATTAAAAAAAAAAAACCTAGGGGCGCGTGGGTGGCTCAGTGGGTTAAGCCGCTGCCTTCGGCTCGGGTCATGATCTCAGAGTCCTGGGATCGAGCCCCACATCGGGCTCTCTGCTCAGCAGGGAGCCTGCTTCCTCCGCTCTCTCTGCCTGCCTCTCTGCCTGCTTGTGATCTCTCTGTCAAATAAATAAATAAAATCTTTAAAAAAAAAACCTAAAGGACTGAATTTATACATTTCAGGTATATAAGACTACATATAGGTCTCTTCCTCATGGCTCTAGCGTACTATACACTTGTCTCTTTACTTTTTCCCTCTCCTCTCAAACCATAAATTGTCACCTACTACTACCTTTAAGTCTACATTTCTAGCAGATTCCAAGTACATCTAATTTGCAGCTATTTGATGAGCTAAGCAGATAAACTGAGTTATAAAGGATACAACCAGCAAAGACCAAATAATAATATGCAGTTTTTGAGGGCCTTCTTGGGGGGTGGGCCGCCAGAGGAGGGGAAGGGTGTGGTGGAACAGGACAGAGTAGGGATGAAGGAAGACAGGATGCTCTTTTGTAAACAAACTATTTAAACATCACTGCATGATCTCTTTTGTAAACAAAGACTTTTATTTTGCTAACTTTGGATTATTGTGTTATATTAAGTTCAAATAATTGTTAATAGATATTTCTTCATTCAAATAGAGTTGAAAAAAAATCTGTATAAGAGAACCACTTGAAAAAAATCAGTCCAAGATACTGAGGAAAAAGTATCTGAATTTTCATCAATGAGAGGCATACTCTTTTTCCCACTTACAAATACATAAAAGTGGGATGTGTCTCACAATTAAGGGCTTAACAATAATGGCAATATTTTTTCTTAGTTTTACATAATGGTGCACTTCATAACTGATGGCACCTTAGATTTGATGAAATCAAATGCATATTATAAAAATATTCATGTACATGACTTTCTCAACTAGAGAATGCTTAATTATTATTATTAATACATTCCATCTCTCTTATCCCACTAAGATGAAAAATCAAATGCTCATACTAATGATGCTGGCAGGAGGCAAAAACCCGTATGAAAGAAAAAGAAGTAGCGATTTGGTTTCACTGAGAAACCTTATATCAACAGATTATGGGCCTCCACCAACAAATGGACCTAATGAAAACTTTGCTTAAGAAACCTTTAGTGAAATCCCTCAGAACCCTTGCTTTCCGGGGTAGTATCTACATTAGCTATGTGGTATGTAATCATCGTAACAGTGAACAAAATTACTTAATTACTCACTGTTGAATAAACAGAAAAATATCTCCTCCAGGTTCGTAAGGTCAATAGACTGAGTGGTCCTCCATATTTCAGGATCATTAAGTTAGTGTAATTTACAGCACTATTATTCTCTAAAAGCATTATGCAACTAATATGTTGCCTGAATTACTAGCAACATAATCACGAATATAACTTTCAATTCTAAACTATCATAATTACAAAAACATGGAACTTTTCATTTAAATACAACTGCAAAAATTAGAAACACTAAATTGGTCTGACCCTTACACAAATAAAAACTCTCTAAAAAACTTATATACCTTTTGTTATTTTTTTCTTCTCAGAGGCAAAAATGTAAACCAACTGCTTCTAGAAATGATTAAGTTATTACTACTTTTAGGTTGTTATTATTCTCAAACATTTGCTCTTCAAATAACAGATTAGCATCAGAAGAAATATTTCCACTAAAACTAATGAACAAAAGAACAGAAATCAATGAGAAAAAAGTTCCAGAAAATATGCTAAAAATAATAATGTCTGTTGACAAGAAATGTTTTTAAAGAGATAGCTGAGTAAAAACATTTATCTTACAATCATCACTACAGCGTAAAAACACTAACAAATTACTTTTTGGTTTTTAGTACCTACCTTTGTCTGGGAACTATAAAGAGTGCCCGTACCAACTTCTTCCTATTCGCTTTTGTATTCATGTTCATGCAAAAATCCATTGCTGCCTAAAGGAGAAAAAGCAAACTTATTTTCTTAAAAAAAAAAAAAAATTTTTTTTTTCAATTTAGCTAATGAAAGCAGAAACCATGCATGCTACAAAGGACTTCTACTTGTTCCTAAACATTTCAAAATAGTTTTAGAACACTAGCATTGTAAGCATATGCCAAACTAAAAGATCACTGAAGTTTAAAGTCTTCTCTCTTTTTAGATCTCAAAATACATGTCTCATAAACTTTTTAGTTGCAACCTAGTGTTACAAACAGAAACCCAAGTGAGTGGACTGAAGACCTGCCACAAATTGTTTGGCAAATATTTATATGAAATGGCAATTAATGCCTCTGAGCTCACTGAAGTCAAGTAAATCAACATTAATACTGGAAAAATATTCTGACAGAATTAGAAAGTAGCAAGAAAAGTTATCAGAAACCAAGAAAATTATTGCCACTAATCAGGATAATCAAAAAAGAACAGAGATAAACTAGAAATGAGAGAATGGTATATATTATTCTCAGGAACATGTAAAAATAAGTGCCTAAGCATTGACTAAAAAGTTTTAGTTTAGTGTCAACAGTCAGATTCGACAACTTAAAGAAAAAACATCACAGGATTGCAATAAATACCCACACCTGTTATCTAGTGCAGCAATCTACCATTCCATACAGCAAGAACAAAGAAGCGTTCAGTATTTCATCACTATGTCTGACAATTAAGCATAAAAGAAAAGCTGAGAGAGGTTTGTGTTGTAGGAAGCCAGTGGAAGGCAAAAATATGAGTAATTGGTATTTTTAAAACATAGGTGTATATATTTTAAAATGTTAAAGATTTTCAGTATATTTGGTTAAGAAAAATAAGGAAGGTACACTTCTAAAAGGAATAAACTACCTTTAAATACACTTCTGAGGATTTGAAATATTGTCCTTCCATAGGTTCACATGTAATATAATGATTATTTTATCAATAATCCCAATCCTTAGTTTCTTGATTATCGGATGCACATAAAGGATCCACAGGTTCCAGATCTACTAAGGATTTCTACTCTTCACTATTGACAGAACGCACTGAAATATCTCCCATTTGGTTAAATCTTTTGAGGAAATGGCACAGCTAACACTGATTAGATTCAAACCTGGGACACTAACTCACATTCGCCAAGAATGTGTATTCGCCAAGATCAAAACTGTACATCAACATTAGTCAAGACAGAAAAATCAATTTAGAATTTTCTTCTACTTGTAAAGAGAGTATAATCAATGTTATTAAAGCTTACATTTTATAACATTAAAGCTTCTCATAGCAAATTAAAGTAACTAAAGTAACTTCTCATAGCAAATTAAAGAGAAAGGAGAAAATACAATAAATTTCCTATAATCAATTCACCCATTTGCAACATTGAAAAATTCTGGACCTAATAAATAGAAACCCCAAAGTCATGTACTCAGAAAATTAAATAGGTTAACACTGGAAAAGTTCGCATACAGACATACACACACAAACTCTCAAATCAACATTTTTGAAAATATTAAGAAACATTTTAAAAGGCCAATAATGGCTTAATGTTTCACTACAAATTAGAAAACATGAAAAATAAAATATATTTCAGTGATTACTTTAGAACTCTGTCCTTTAAAATACATAAATACTTTATTTAGATATTCTATCTAAATAAATTTTAGACAGAAAAAGCAATAATCACTTCACCTAGCACAATAATCAGAGGCCAGTTAGGTGGGAAAAAAAACCTACAATATTCAAAACTCTCCACAGATCAGGAGTCCTTAGAGCATTCCAATGCCTAACACACAGTAGGGGTTCTACTACTCTAAGTATATAGAATAAATAAAAGACAAGATGAGTAGAAAGTTGTTAGAATTATTAAATTTCAGAAAATTAAAAAGAGAAAAGTTGGGGCACCTGGGTGGCTCAGTGGGGTAAAGCCTCTGCCTTCCGCTCAGGTCATGATTCCAGGGTCCTGGGATCGAGCCCCACATCAGACTCTCTGATCAACAGGGAGCCTGTTTCCCTTCCTCTCTTTCTGCCTGCCTCTCTGCCTACTTGTGATTTCTGTCTATCAAATAAATAAATAAAATCTTAAAAAAAAATAAAAATAAAAAATAAAATAAATAAATAAATAAAAAGAGAAAAGTTTCCTATGTATATTATTCTTAGATTTAACCAGTCCTGTCCTTTTGGGAGAAATGGAAGCAAAGAGTCTCTCTGGCGGCATCTACCTGCCTGAGGAACAACTGCTGATTGGCAACTCAATAAGCAGTATTCTGAAAACTTGTTTCAAAACATTTTGGGTCAATGAAAGTTCAATAATCATTTCTTATTTTATTAAGTAAAAATAAATTCTTATGATCATCAAATGTATGTAGAAATAAACATTTATAAAAAATAATAAACAAATATCACCATGAATGACATTACTCACAGAAGTTACCTAAAAGAAATCTTCACTCTGGTTTCTATAGTGTTACATAATTACTGAATTCAAAGAATTCTTGGATTTTTCTGTTTCCCAAGTACTTTTCTCTTTAAGCCACTTGGACATCTGTGAGTGTATATGGAGGAAATTCCTTTCATGAGGACGCTAACTCCCCAGAGGAACAATCCCCAGAGGAACAAACTGGGGTCCCATAGGGAGGAGTGGCCCACGTGACCCTCAGAGGGCTAACTCAGAATTTACTATACAGTCATTACCTGCAATAACTCTTAATACTGAGCAGGGCACTAGAGGATAACTTCTAATGCAGACTCATTACAATAATGCTACTATATACAAAACTGATGAGTTCCTTCTCACCTTCAAGTTTCATGATACAACTCAACATGGGGTATGGGGATGAAGCAGGAGTGTCAAGGTATCTCTCTATCATCCTCTGTTTATGTCACATGAATAAATACATGAAAATTTGGCAGAGGAAATATTCATTCATATTTCAAACTTGCTAATAAGTTTTTGAAAACTGTACAATGACCTAATCACTCCAAGAAGCCAATTTGGAAACAGTTTCAAGCCTACTTGATTTACATGAATAGTTAGTGAAATACATCTAAATTATTTGAAGGAGGACTAAATGAGTTCAAAGCTGAAAAATAACTTAACTTCTGTCGTTCTCCACAGGAGACTGTCAGAGCATTATGGGGAAAAAAATGATTATATTATATTATACTTTGACCCAAAAAAAAAAAAAAAAAAATGGCTTAAAGCAAGTTTTCAAACTTTGGGTCTCAAAAGCCCTTTACCTGAAAGAACTTTGTTTACATGGGTTACATTTATCATCATTTACTGTATTAGAAGTTAAAACTGAGAGACTTTTAAAATATCATTTCACTCAAAAATACCAATAAATCTATTAGTTGTTACTTGTTTTTGGAAATAACTATATACTTTTCAAGATGAAAAAAATTTAGTGCCAAAAGTGGTACCTTTTTAGATAACAGCTATATTTTTGTATCTACTTATACATTCAGTCTCTCATGATGTGTTTTTTTGTTTTTTAGGATGAAGTAAATAAAGAAAATCCAACTTCACATATATACATAGCTAGAAAAGGGAGGTGTACTTTAGTATGCTTTCCACTAATTGTAGATATTCTCTGATACTACCCAAAACTTGACAAATGGTAGTTTCCTAACGGTTAGTTGCAATGTGGAACCAAAACCATATAAATCAATTTTTCATGCTACATTAAAATCCACTGGTCTAACTTGCACTTTTGAGTGAATCTTTTAACATCCAAGCAAGATTCTGTGAACACTGTCTTGTGGTTACTTAGAACAATGGTTCACTGAGTGATGCAGATCTTCCACAGACATAATTTTATATATTTAAAATTACATTATTTAAGAACATTGCCAATCTCATCAGGAAAGTCTCATCAATGAATCTCTTCAGAAAACAATTGGGAAGGTATCAAGCTTGTCGTGGTAGACCTAAGTTTCCCAAAATTCTAACTTTTGTTGAAAAAACTAATTCCTTCATTGGTAATAAATACTTTGTTGCTGTCCTTGAAGTGACAGGATCACCTTGTTCATGTTGGAAAACTGTCTGCTAAATACCCAAGTCTGAGTAAACAGTTTGTCCATCACTTCTTTCAAGTAAAAATGGTATTCTATGAAAAAAGCAACTAGTTCAGCTCGAAACTCAATCACACAACTGGATTTTCCCAAGACAACCTTGAGAAAGCAGAAGTGCCTTATATGAAAGTCCCATTTTTTCAGATTAAAAGGATGTGCATTCAAAGATCGAATGAAATAAAATCATAAATTTTTACAGTCATCAAGGAGAGTCTTAAGTGAAAGTAGCATTCTCTTTTTAATTGCAAATCATGGCAGCAAAGAATACAAAGGCTACTAGCACAGTTTTCACCCACTCATGCTAAATTGCCAGTTGCTTTTTCAAATGTCAAAAACAATGAAAAGGCAAAGCTAGTTGGGGGGGACCCTAGTTTTGGTATGAAAAGAGTTTTAACTTTACAGACCTCATGAAAGCGCCTCAGAAGACTCCAGGAACTGACAAAGCATACGTTAAGAATTTCGGGTCTAAAACCATATTTTTCAAACTGTGGGGTCTCTATATGAAGGGGAGAAGCATCAAGCCAATTCTAGACACAGTTTCACACTAAGAGATAACATCTACAAATTGGCTCCAATTTTCTATGTTTATCTTGGATTCCCAAGAGTCCACTTGAAGACATAATTCATTCTATGGCCAAAACTGTCCAAAACCCAAAGGCGTTCCTAATTAGAGCTATCCCACAAGGTCTATGTGCTTGCATAAAGTTAAACCATGACAATTATACCTTGTCTATCAGATCTCGGTTGACACAGTTGGGCAACTGCTGGAGGAAAGCATCTACTATGAGCTTGAGATGAGATCCAGTGCTGGCTTCTTCATCCTCTTGTTCTAATATAAAATTATTTTTTAAATAGGTTAAAAAAAATACAAAGAGACAATACAGACAAGAATAGAAACATTCAATTTTAAGTTATTTGGCAAATAGATAATCTGGATTTTTTATGAAAAAATGGAAGCCTTTTTATGGAAACATTTTTATGAAAAATGGAAGCTATTACCCTAATATCTGGGTATTATCTAGAATCAGAACCCAAAGACACTATAGGCTTTCAGGTATCAAATATGAAAAGGCAAACTTTTGCATTAGACATAAAAACTCAAACATAAACTGCATGTAGTTTTACAGTAAATTTGTTATTTTTATCTGCTGAGCATCCCACCCCCATGTCTTCAAGTAATAACAGCCCTCCCATCACTTGCTTGCCTTTGAAGGCAACCCATGGGATTCTGATAGGGAAGGACACAGCCACAGCACAGCATATTGCCTTCCTCTTAGCCACAGGCAACCTCTAGCCAAATCCTTCCATGATACTTATGTACAGACACTGAGAGAGACTCTCTTGTCCTTCGATGTTAACAGCTGATAGGACCTGGGCCTAGGGCAGCCTCCAACCATGCCCACCCTCCCTTCATGACATGGAGAAAAGAAAATCTGAAAATCTGCAGTAGAGATGGCTGGGTGGCTCAGTCAGTTAACCGGCTGCCTTTGGTTCAGGTCATGATCCCAGCGCCCTGGGATCGAGTCCCATATCAGGCACCTTGCTCCGCAGGGAGCCTGCTTCTCCCTCTGCCTCTGCCTGCCACTCTGCCTGCCTGTACTCTACCTCTCTGACAAATAAATAAATAAAATCTTAAAAAAAAAAAATCTGCAGTAGGAAACAATGAAGACAATAGAGAAGTAAGCAATACCGACAAAAGGTATCCTTCTAATAAAAAAATCCCAGCTAATAAATGGGTGGTAATAAAGATGTGGTACATATAGGGGCGCCTGGGTGGCTCAGTGGGTTAAGCCGCTGCCTTCAGCTCAGGTCATGATCTCAGGGTTCTGGGATCGAGCCCCGCATCGGGCTCTCTGCTCAGCGGGGAGCCTGCTTCCTCCTCTTTCTCTGCCTGCTTGTGATCTCTGTCTGTCAAATAAATAAATAAAATCTTAAAAAAAAAAAAAAAAAGATGTGGTACATATATATATATGTGTGTATATATATATATGAAATATTACTAACAGCCATAAAAAGAATGAGATATTGCCATTTGCAACACATGGATAGACCTAAAGAGTATAATGCTAAGTGAAATAAGTCAGAGAAAAACAAATAACATAGGATTTCACTCATATGTGGAATTTAAGAAACAAAACAAGCGAACAAAGAAAAAAGAGACAAACATAAAAGACTCTCAAATACAGAGAATTGGTGGTTGCCAGGGGGGAGGCAGGTGAGCAGGCAGATAAAATAGATAAAGGGGATCAGGAGTAGACATCATGATGAGCACCGATAATGTACAGAATCACTGAATCATCATATTGTACACCTGTCCCTAATATAACATACTGTATGTTAACTGTACTTCAATAAAAAGTCCTAACTAATTAAAAAAAACCTAATAGGAAGTATTTAGGGAATAATTAACAATGTAACTTTTTTTTACTAAATACAAAGTATTACTCAATTATAAAAACAAATAAAATTATAACAAACTGATCTACTAATTGTCTTTTTATCTCTCAACCATTTTAGAATAACTTTCAAATACTTTTATGTTAAGACTGTAAAGATCATACCATAAATTAAAATAAATTCAGGACAAACTAGCAAGTAAAGATGCAGAAGAAATATCTATTAAGATATTGAGAATTTGGATGATCATTAAAGCGTGTATTCACATTACATGGGACATGTTATGTTTCTATTCCAAATCAAATTCCAAAAAAGTGATGGCCTGGAAAGAACAGGAAAATAGAGAACTAAAGAGTAAAGGAGGAGCTCTGTGTATAAAAATTAATCAAGAATTAAATTGTTAGCAAAATAACACTCACCTTGCTCGTCAAGAAGTTTCTTTGTGAGATCCTCAGCTTCATCTCCACCCTCTAACTCCAAGGTGTCATCATTAATTTCTAGATTCTCCAACTCAAGTTCCAAATCATCAGGATTTGATACTTCCTTATTATCTTTAGGTTCTTTTGTCTCTATTTGAAAACAAAGAATCAGTTATCTCTGAATTAAAAGTCATAATGAAATCCTGTCACAAAAACAGATAAGAATTCACAAAACCTGCATCATTTGTCTTAGAATCTACATATATACCTGGCAATAAACTTGAGTATATATTTAATATTCTCAGATTTTATAAAATATAGTATACTCATTGAGAACAAAAACCATAACTTCTTTGATTCTATAAGCCATCTATTAACCGAAGGAATGGGTGGGTGGGTAGATGGATGGATGGATGGATGGAGACATACATGGTAAAGAGAGGAAAATAAAGTTGATTAGATAAAGTGGACTCAGATTAAGGTGGATCTCAAACTCCATGATGACAAGTTCAGACTTTCTCTTTTACACAGTATGAGCTTTGTTGGGTCATGAGCAGGGGATAACATTTAAATGTGAGGTGACGTGAAAACTGACTTAGCAACAATACACAAGATTAATCAGAAAGACCAGATGCAAAAAGACCAATTGGGGAAACATCCTTATAATTCAGCTGTCAGGGGTTAGAAGAAATTAAAAAATGCAACAAAACCAAGGAAAATGGCCAGGAGTTGGTAATAAGGCTCAACAGAAAGGATAAAAATGAAAGCGGAAGTAAACTCAATTTCAACAATATTGCCATAATGTTCAATGGATTACCCTTACTTTTGTGTTTGAAAATTTTCATAAATGAAAGAAACAAAAAAGCCCGAGTTCAAGACTTTATGCTTTAAAAAGTAGTAGACTTAGGGTGTCCACTGAAATTATATTTCTCAGCCTCATCTTCTCTTGGAGTCTCTAATCTCGTAATTTCTGCAGTAAAAGCAGAAATGTTTTACTGATACATGATCCCATCCCATATTTGGAAGAATCGAAACTCTAATATGGATTGGTTCTGCTACCTCTATTGGAGACAGTTTTCTCATTCATTTACCCTTCCATTCAACTAACACTTAAATTCTTACATGCTAACTACTGTTCTAAACAACAAGGATACCACTTTGCACGAGATAAAAACCCCTGCCCATATGGAGCATATACTCATTTCCCAGTATTCTCTGATGTCTAGCTATCAAAAAAAACCAACATTTACTACCAGCTACTATGTATTCAAAACTATGCTAAACTGAACATTCACAAAAAGCATAAATGTGACTCTTGCTCTCAAGAAATGTATAATTTATCCAAGGAAATTAAATTAATATACACAAGTGAGTCAGAGGAATGTGGTAAAGAGAGGATTACAAACAGAAAACATGACGAGGGAAGACCATGAAGCAAGAGGACTATCCTGCTGCAGATGCTAAAAAGGCGAAAAAAGTAAGGGTAATGTGGTGTCAGATATTGGAGAGGAAGACCTACAACAAACTGTACAGGGTCCAAGAGACAAGGTTAACAAGTTTACATTATCTTCCAAATAAATGTAAAGCCATTAAAAGACAGGAGAGTAAAATTAATTTTTAGAATTTGATTCTATAAGCCATTAAAATTAATTTTTAGAATGTACGGAAGGCAGCAAGAACAAATCCAGGGCAGCCAGGGAGGAAGAATCATACAGTGGCCCAGGTTAAAAGACAACAGTTCCTTAGATTAGAATAGAAGCAGTAAGAACAAAACCAATCTCAGATACATATAAAAGGTTGAAATAAGCAGACTTGATTACTACAGTGACTGCTCCTTCCTCTTCTATCGGACCCTGAAAAACACTGACATTTAAAAGGTCCAATGAAAGTGGAAACTGAAGATAAGTAGAGAAGACAAGAAGGGTTAGTGCCACAGAAGCCACGGAATGGAAATACTCCACAAAGGAAATAGTAAACTGTGTTGAATGGTTTGAGAGATCAAATGAGACAGAGACTGGAACCTGCCCATGAGATAAAGCAACATGAACTTGACTGGTAATTTTCGCAAAAAACAGTTTCGGTGTAGAGGTGAGGCTGGGCCAGACTGAAGTAGACTAATGAGGAAGTAAGATAGTGAACAATCTGCGTGTTTCAAAAGGACTACATAAAAAAGAGACAGGACAGTAGCCGACAAAGGATGGGAGGCCCAGGAGGTTTCAGAGTATTCACAATTTGCTTTGATCTGTTTTGTTTTTTAAAGATGGGAGTATGTTTGAATACTGAGATTAAGGATCCAGTAGAGAGAAGGAAAGAGAGACAGAGAATTTGATATCAAAGAGATAAAAAGGGATAATGGACTGCCACAGGGTTCAGGACAAAGGAGGAAACAAGATTCAGAGCAAGAAGATCACCTGGCCTTATACAGAAGTTGCAGAATTTTACCTTATCACCCAGGGAAGAAACATTGTATAAGCCCTAAGACAGGCAGATTTATAAATTAGAAGGGGTACACTGTTGAGGGAATTATATCTGAAGGCCTCCATCTTCTTTATGAAGTACTATATTGCACATCATCTTCTGCTAAGGAGGGAAGCAGAATGAAAACTGGAGACAATGAAAATGTATTACGGAGTGTGGGAGAGGGAACTAAGGACAGAGATTTGGTCAAGTTTCCATGCAGTGTTGAGAACCTAGTTGAGATTGGTGACCATGAATTTATCAAGTTATCAAGCTATCAAAATGATCATCTCTAAGAGAACTCAACAGTTTGGATACAGAAATCAATATATGGTGGATGACTGAGTTCATCAGGGCTGAACTTGATAGGCATGTATGAATGAAGGACAGAAGGAGAAAGAATGTGTAAGAGAAATATTAAAGATGTATAGCAGCATGCAATCTAGAAAAGAAGGTAAGTGAAGGCAGGTGGAAACTACTGGAAGGCCAAAAAAAATAAAAAATAAATACAAAGTTAAAAATTTTTAAAAACTGAGGAAGCCAAACAAGGGACTAGATGTCTCAAAAGAGGCAGAAGAGGGGCAGTGAGGGTACCTGAGAAGGTAAGGTATAAGGACACAGAGGTATCTAAGTTAGTGGTTTGAGGTAATTTCAGGGCTGGAGCAGTTTGGGAAGATTAATTTCTATCCTACTGGTAACAATGAAAGGTAAAGAGAGATGCCTTAAGTTCAAACCAGTTACTAGTAGAAACTGTCCTATAATTTTTTATCCACAGAATACCTCTACCAAATAAAATAGCATTTTCTTTCTTTTAATAAGTTCAACTGCTTAGTCAGTCACCAATTTTGATCTATTCATTCTTGGGTATATTTCTGTACATAAGACCATATCCCCCCTTCTCCTTTCATAATACTGTTCACAGGATTGATCTATTACTAAAACAGAGACTTGCTGGTCCACACCATATTTCTAATTTATCCTATACCACTGACAGAGTAACCTTTTAACAGAAAGTAACAAAACAGTAACAAAAAGCTGTGTATCAATCACATCTATGCATCTATGTTATTTAAACTTCAAATAAATGATACTCATGGTCTGTAGTGAGATAATTCAAATGAATTTTTCACTACCCTCCAAATTTATTATATCTTCTAAAAAGGCAGAATGAATTATTTGATCCTTATTTCCTCTCCAAATATACTAGATAATTTCCAGCTTCTGTGTCTTTTTTTTTTTTCATGCCATTCTCTCTACTTAGAAGGTCCACCCCAGTATCTCTTGTCAAAATTCAAGTTAAGCTTCAAAAAGTCTGTCACAAAAGTCCATTTCTGCCACAGAGTTTTATCTGATCTCCAACCATGGTTACTGACCCCATGCGGTTTGTTTTTGTTTTTGTTTTTTAAAGATTTGAGAGAGTGCATGGTGTATGGGGTGGGGGGGAGGAGACAAGGGAGAAGAACAGAGAGAATCCCAAACTGACTCCACTATGAGCAAAGGAGCTGCATGCTCAGGGCTCAATCTCACAACCCTGAGATCATGACCTGAAATCAAGAGTCAGAAGCTTAACTGACTGAGCCACCCAGGTGCCCCCAGCCCCACTGTCTCAACTGCCACAGTTCTTATACTTTTCCTATGGCCCCACTCCTACTTTCCTTCATATTCTAATTCTTTGAGGCCCAGGCTGCTCCCCACTAATGTGACTGTAAGTCCGCAGACTTGCTCATATTTGTCTCGTCCATGTCCCTCAGTACATTATCTCACAAGAGAGGTTGATACCCTAATCCCACTACCTCAAAGAAAAACAAATATTAGAACCCTTCAAGTAAGTCAAACTTGAATGATGCTATGAAAAACCTACCATGGCAGAAAGAAATACTGAGGTAACTAATGTTTTAGAAACTACTCCTCAGGGCTTCAGTTGTACCTATATGAGGAAATGCCTTCTGAGAAACTTTAACTGACAAAACTGAGCAGTAGGTATCTAAAATGAGCATTTTATGTATTTTTTCCTTATACTTCCTGAAACATTTCAAATATTTCAACACTACTTTCCATAAAATATAAAGTAAAATTTATCTTAAGGTAAGAACATCTTTGAGATTAACCAAGAGGTTTTTATATTTTTATGGTACCACAATATAGTACCACATATTTTTATGGTACCACCATCCTATGGCATTCTTACCATAGGATGACCTCAACTCTATCGTTTACACAAAAATAGCCTAATTTTTGGAATACTACTCAGCCATCAAAAAATAAAAAGATCTTGCCATTTGCAACAACATAGATGGAACTACAGGGTGTTAGGCTAAGCGAAATAAGTCAGAGAGAGACAACTATCATATGATCTCACTGACTGTGGAATTTAAGAAACAAAACAGGGAATCATAGGGGAAGAGAAGAAAAAAAAAAAGATGAAATCAGAGCAGGAGACAAACCACAAGAGACTCTTAAGCATAGGAAACACTAAGGGTTGCTGGAAGGGAGTGGGGTGGAGGGTGGGGTAACTGGGGGATGGACATTAAGGAAGATATGTAATGTACTGAGCACTGGGTATTATGTAAGACTGATGCATTGCTGACCTCTACCTCTGAAACCATTAATACATTATATGTTAACTAAATTTAAATAAAAATAAAATTTTAAAAAATAGCCTGTTTTTCATTTCACATTCAGTATACTTTAGAACTTAGATTCTAAATAATGTCATAAAATGAAATTGTTTTATTACTCTTCTTTCAATTAGTATGCAGCACCACCCTATCCCCCATTTTAAATATATGTTATATATGAAAAAGGAAAACAAAACTGATCCTTTAAAAAAAAGCTTTCAGTTAAAAACTTTAGGTGTTTGGGTGATATGTTACTACATACGTTACCTGTAACATATGCACCACTGTGGTTGGGATATTGACAGTGGGGGATGCTGTATGTGTGTGGAGGGACGGGGGATACGGGAACTGTATACTTTCAGCTTAATTTTGCTGTGAACCTAAAGCTTTAAAGCTCTAAAAAATGAAGTCTAATATTAAAAAAAAAAAAAGTTTTTGTGTGTCAAAGGACATTATCAAGAAAGTAAAAAGACAATCTTTGGAGTGGGAAAAATATCTGCAAATCTGATAAGGGTCTAATATCCAGAATATTTAAAAAATTCTTACAACAATAAGATGACTTAGTTAAAAAATAGACAAAGGACTTAAAAAGAGATATGCAAATGGTCACCAACCACATGAAAACATATGCAACATCACTAGTCATTAGGAAAACATAATCGAAACTACAATACCACCTTTACACCCAGTAGGACGGCTGTAGGAAAAAGAAAATCATAAAACAAGTGCTGGTAAGGATGTAGAGAAATGTAGGAATGTTAACATGGTCCAGCCACTGTAAAACAGTTTGAGAGTTCTAAAAGTTAAACATAGAAGTTTGTATTTCTTAATCCCCTTCACCTATTTCATCCATCCGTCTGCATCCCTCCCCTCTGGAAACCGCCAGTTTGTTGGGTGTATTGATAAATATGTTTCTGGTTTTTTTTCTTTTTCTTTTCATTTGTTTTTCAGATTCCACGTATAAATGAAATCATATGGTATTTGTCTTTGTCAGACTTCTTTTACTTCGCATAATATTCTCTAGGTCAATCCAACAACACCCAAGTTGTTGCAAATAAGATCTTATTCTACTTTTTTTTTTTAAGATTTTATTTATTTGAGAGTGAGTGAGAAAACACAAGTTGAGGGGGCAGGGGAGTGGGGCAGGCAGGGGCAAAGGGAGAAGCAGACCCTCCTGCTGAGCAGGGAGTCCAGATGCAGGGCTCCATCCCAGGACCTTGAGATCATGACCTGAGAGGAAGGCAAACACTTAACTACCCGAGTACCAGGCGCCCAAGGTTTTATTCTTTCTTATGACTAACATTTCATTTTATATATATGCCATATCCTCTTACCCATTCACATCTATCAACAGGAACTTATTTTGCTTCTACATTCTGACTACTGTAAATGGTGCTACAATAAACATAGGGGTGCATATATCCTTTCAAATTACTGTTTTTGTTCTCCCAAATACCCAATAGTGGAATTAGTGGATTGTATGATATTGCTACTTTTAATTTTTTGAGGAAATTCCATACTGTTTTCTATCTGTAGTACCAATTTATATTCCCACCAATAATAATGAAGATCCCTTTTTCTCCACATTCTCACCAACACCTCTGATTTTTTGTCTTTTTGATACTAGTGATCTGGACTGGTGGGAGGTGATATCTCACTGTGGTTTTGATTTGTATTTCCTTGGTGAGTAGTGGTGTTGAGCATCTTTTCATGGTCTATTGGCCATCTATATGTCTTCTTCAAAAAAAGTATATTCAGGGGGCGCCTGGGTGGCTCAGTGGGTTGGGCCTCTGCCTTTGGCTCGGGTCCTGATCCCGGGGTCCTGGGATCGAGCCCCGCATCGGGCTCTCTGCTCAGCGGAGAGCCTGCTTCCTCCTCTCTCTCTGCCTGCCTCTCTGCCTACTTGTGATCTCTGTCAAATAAATAAATAAAATCTTAAAAAAAAAAAAAAAGTATATTCAGATCCTCTGCCCATGTTTTAATCAAATTATGTGGCTTTTTGGTGTTGAGTTGTAGGAGTTCTTTATATATTCTGGATATTAACCCCTTATCAGAGATAGCATTTGCAAGTATCTTCTCCCAGTCTGTAGTTATTATAATAGCTTTGTATGGTGACAGATGATAACTATACTTACAGTGGTGAGTACCATACAACATACAGAACTGTCTAATCACAATGTTGTACACCTGAAACTAATATAACATGTCAACTATACTTCAACTAAAAAAATAAAAAGCTCAAAGTCCACTGATGTGATACACAGACAAAATGAAATATAGTTCAACCATAAATAGGAATGGAGTACTGACAAAAGTACAATGTGAATATACCTCCAAAACATGATGCTAAGAAAAAGACAAGAGATCATACTTTTGTGACTCCAATTATATGACACACTAAAAATAAATCCACAGACACAGAATGCAAATTGATATTTGCCAGGGGTTAGAGAAAGGGAGGAATGCAGAGAAACTGTTTCATGATATAGGAATGATGGACTGTTTTAGAAGTATGTGTTATAATACCTGCATCAAAAGCAAAGAATATTACTTTCTAGTTTCTAGTGTAAGGCACGTAAATTACTAATCTTAACATAACTCAAAAAGCAGTGTTAACACAGGAATTTAGGGCCCAAGTCATTCATTAACAAGGCTGAAATTTCAGATCCACCTCTCACTAGCTGTGTTAAGTTACTTAAACCTGGGTAGTTACTCGACCCTTTCGTGCCAGTTTCCTCATCTGAAAACAGGGACAATAACAGTAGCTGTACTTCACAGGATTATTAAGAGAATTAAACAATGTTTTACTTATAAAGTACTAAAATGATGTTTGGCATGAAGTGATTATTAAATAAAAATTACTAGCTATCATTTTTTTACACGAGTTCCCTAATAAATATATCGGATTACAAAAGTACATTTAAAAAAAATTATCTGCTATCTCTACAAATCCCTGCCACCATTCCCTCCCATTTCCCCCCCATCTCTAATTTGGCAGAATTCCCTTTAGAAAACATGGAGTGACTGGTATTCAGGACCTTCCACCATGTTAATGATCTCAAAGCTTGTGATTTCTCTAAATTAACTCTCCTTCACAAAGAGTTAGGGTTATCTGGCCTAGAAAGAGTCTTATAGGTAAAGAGCACCACGGAACTGACACTTCTCCTAACTGGGAAAATTCTCCAACTGGGAGAATTTCAGCTCTTACCAAGATCTCACATGAACTCATTACATTATAAACAAACATTTTCAAATTATTTCACATTAACATAAATGTTTTGGTACTGTTGAAATTATGTCATCTATCACCCTTTCATGCTCCATTCCATGTTATTCTGTCATCTATTTAATCTAACGACTCAATGTTCATACTGCAAAACTAGTAACTAAAAAAATACTTTTACAAATATTAATTTAAAATTAATTTTTACAGCACTTAATGTAAAAATTTATCCTCTAGAATTTACCTTTGGAATCATCTTTGTTGGAATCTTTATTCTGACAACTTTTCTCATTATCTTTAAACAAGATGGCTGGAACAAAAGCTTTCAAATCAATGAGGTTTTCATAAAAATTCCGAGCATCTTCATCTTCCCATATACCACCTTCCAAGTCATATTCTCCAGGCTTACCAGGTGTAAAAATATCAATTCCAGGCCCATGCTCTACAATAAAATAAGCCAGAGGAAATTAAAACCATTGCAGGTATAGTATGCAAAACCATGTAACAAGATATTTTCTATTTTACAACTGATGAATCCGGAGTGTTTCAATTAATAGAAGCTTCTTCAATCAACACATACTCTGGACTGTTCATGTAATCATCTTTAATATCAAATCAGGACAGACTAGAGGACAACATATGTGAAAGATGCTTTTTCTCTTATATAAGAAATACATAAGCCTCACCATTCCTAAAATATTCACATCTCCCATAAAGCATTTTTTTTTATGACTCCCAACCCTCTGTACCACTTATATCACAATTATCTTCCTAAGTAAACCAAAAAATATTTAAGATTTTTTTTTAAGTAATCCCTGTACCCAATGTGGGGCTCAAAGTCACAACACTGAGATCAAGAGTCACATGCTCTCTGGGGTGCCTGGGTGGCTCTGGGAGTTAAGCATCTGCCTTGAGCTCAGGTTCCTGAGATCAAGCCCTGTGTCAGGCTCCCCTGCTCAGTGGGGAGTCTGCTTCTCCCTCTGCCTCTGCCCTCACTCCACTCATGTGTGTGTGTGTGTGTGTGTGTGTGTGTGCGCGCGCACACGCACGCTCGCGATCTCCCTCCCTCTCTCAAAAAAAAAAAAAAAAAAAAAAAAGAGTCAATGCTCTGCCAATTGTGCCAGTCAGGTGCCCCAGAAGTAAACCATAAGGTTCTAATTAAGCTTTGGTATGATTCTTTGGTATAATCCGTGGTATAAGGCAGGTTGCTATAAAGTGTCAAGTGATAAATAACTGAAAAAGAACAGAAGAAGAAAAAGTAAGAAAATATTTCAGTAGATGGTAGAAAACCACACAAATATTTGCACATGTACATGCACATGCACACACACACACACACACACACACACACACACACACAGAATCTACCTTTTACATACAACTATAACTTCTTAAAATCAGAAGAATAAAATTAATATCCAACTTCATGATCATGAGATCACTCATGAATTTATCTATTCTCACTGTGCTTCTCTCCTAACTAGAACTGTAAGTAGGAGAATGATCATATAGATTAAAAATAACCATAAGAGGAATGCCTGGGCTCAGCTGGTTAAGCAACTACCTTCAGCTCAGGTCATGGTCCTGGAGTCCCAGGATCGAGTCCCACATCAGACTCCCTGCTTAGCAGGGAATCTGCTTCTCCCTCAGACCCTCCCCCTTCTCATGCTCTTTCTCTCTCTCTCAAATAAATACATAAAATCTTTAAAAAAAAAAAAAAGCCATAAGAAAATGATTCATTTCATAGCAAAAACAAGACCAAGTGCAAAAATCAACACAACACTGGCTCCCTAACACACTCCTTATATGCCTTACAGCACATATATTTAAACACAGAGCACCAAACCCATATAGTATAAAAGACTGATAAATTTATAACTTTTGTGCAATGAAAAATATAAACAAAAGCGAAGACAAACAAAATTGAAGACAATACTGGCAATATTCATACAAAGAAATTAATATTCATAACATAAAGAGGCCTACAAGCAAAGACCAAAATCCCAACAGAAAATGGATAAAGCCCCTGAACAGGTTAAGTAAAAGACCGTATGAAAAGAACCTTAACCTCAATACTAAAAAGGATAATGTTAAATAAAACTAACATTTATCACTGCAACACATTAGATTATGTTTAAAAGACTGATATAAGCAAATGTTGACAAGCCCACAGGGAAATAAGCACTCTCTTATCTAGAGTATAAATTAACACAGCATTAAGGATTGTCATCTGTCAGTATCTATCAATATTTATTTTATTTTATTTTTAACATTTTATTTACTTATTTGACAGAGAGATAAAGAGCACAAGCAGGTGAGCAGCAGGCAGAGGGAGATGGAGAATCAGGCTCCCCTCTGTGCACAGCCCAACACGGGGCTCACATGGGGCTCAATACCGGACTCTGGAATCATGACCTGAGCTAAAGGCAGGCGCTGAACCACCCAGGCGCCCCAGTATCTATCAATATTTAAGATCAGTATAATCTTTGATCCTGTAAGATTCCCTCCAGGAATCTATACCAAAGAAATAAAAGAAAATGTGAATACGATTTATAAGGATATTCACTGTAGCACTGTTTGTAACAGAGCAAAACTGAACAGAATCTAAATATCTACCAAAAAGGGCTGACAAAATGCATATATACACTCTGTAATATTAATGAGACACTAAAAGAATGAAGCATATTTATCTGAATTCAGTAATTTCTCAAAAATATGTTATTGAAATAGAAAAGTTAATACAAAATAACATACTATATAAATTAACAAGAAAGCTATGTATCAAAATCTGATTATATATTTTACATATGTATTTTGTACTAAAAAGTCTGGATAGAGGCATATTAAACTGTTAACCATTGATAGCTTGGAAAGCAGAATGCATAAGACAAGAGACTTTCACTTTCTACTCTGTAATATCCATGAATATTTTACATATATGAAAAATGCATTTGCACAGTAATTATAAATTAAGAAAAAATCAACTTCTGAGAAGGAAAAAAATGCTACGAAGTCGAAAAGCAGTAGATAATCACAGGAAACTATTTGCAATGCATATGACAAAGAATAATTTCTTAAATATGCAAAGTGCTTTTATACTTTAATTAAAAATAGATAAATATTTGATTAAAAAGAAAAGGCAGGGGTAAAGGATTCAAAGTATGTCAACAAGTATGTCACAGAGAAACAAACATATATATAAAACAGCCAATGAACTTAAAGAAAAGATGCTCAACCTCACTCAGAAGATAAAAGTCAAGAACTACAATACAGTAAGAACGTAAGGAAAAACTCATTCTCACATAGCTAGTAGCATGTAAATTTCTCTGGAAGAATATTTAACTTTATATATTTAAACTTAAAATACATATACCCTATGGAAGTATTGAATCACTATACTGTACACCTGAAACTAATATTACACGATATGTTAAATGACTGGAATTTTTAAAAAACTTAAAAAATAAAAATAAAATGTAAAAAAGAGAGTAGTTGCAGAACAGTATATATAATACAATCTCATTTCAGCAGGGCAGGAACCTGTATTCTGATCACTTAAAAGTTCAGGCCTCGGGACACCTGGGTGGCTCAGTTGGTTGGACGACTGCCTTCGGCTCAGGTCATGATCCTGGGAGTCCCGGGATTGAGTCCCACATCGGGCTCCCAGCTCCATGGGGAGTCTGCTTCTCTCTCTGACCTTCTCCTCGCTCATGCTCTCTCTCACTGTCTCTCTCTCTCAAATAAATAAATAAAATCTTAAAAAAAAAAAAAAAAGTTCAGGCCTCTTCAGACCAAGATGAGGCACCAGTGTTCTAAAACAACTAAAAAAAACCCAACCAGACAATACATACATAAGCTTTTGAACAGGATATAAGATAGCACAGGAAAGTGATTCCTAGAGAGAAGAAACAAAAAACCTGAGCCCTACAATTAACTCCTATAGCTTATTGCCTGATAAGATTTTCCAGGGTATAGCCAAGTAAGGGAGAAGTAAAGCAGACCCCAGAATCTCCGTGAGATGAAAACAACAGAAGCTGAGAGTGTGGCCAGACTCTAGCCCATGCGGCCAGATACTGCAGGACAGAGTGCCGCAGAGAAGAAAAGCACAGAGACAGACCTTAAAGATCAGTAGAGGTCTCCTCCTGAATGTTCAGCAGAATACTGATCAGCCCCTATGTCTGAGGGAACTTGTTGAGATTGGGAAAATAACTACTATGAATCTTCATAGAATATTCATGGGAAATCAAATAGAGTATAGAAGGATATTGCTTCTGTAATAGGGAAAATTTGCCCTAGACTAAAGGCTGCTCTGATCCCAACTAACAAAACCAACCTGAAAAGGGTAAAACTATTTCAAAGTAGCTTAACTGTGCCCCAGAATGAAGGTCAATGACATTTCTAAGAATACAAAACTATCGGGGCGCCTGGGTGGCTCAGTGGGTTAAAGCCTCTGCCTTTGGCTCAGGTCATGATCCCAAGGTCCCAGGATCGAGCCCCACATTGGGCTCTCCGCTCTGCGGAGAGCCTGCTTCCTCCTCTCTCTCTGCCTGCTTCTCTGCCTACTTGTGATCTTCGTCTGTCAAATAAATAAATAAAATAAAATCTTTAAAAAAAAAAAAAAAAGAATAGTGTTTAAAAAAAAAATACAAAACTATCCAGCAGTTATCCAATTTAAATATGATGAAAAGGCAAAATGTAGGAAAAATATAAGAGCTGTAGAGAAGATAAATCACTTAATTAAAAACCAACACAGAAATGACATATATGATAAAATTAGTAAATAAGGACATTAAAACAGATATTCTAACTATATTTCATATACTCAATAAGCTAGGAGACAGACTAAGCATGTTTGAGACCCTGGAAAATATAACAAGCTTCTAGAAATAAAAATTACATCTCTAATATTAATAATATGGGGCACCTGGGTAGCACAGCTGATCATCAGACTCTTGGTTTCAGCTCAGGTAATGATCTCAGCATTGTGAGATCAAGCGCAAGATCAGCACAGAGTCTGCTTGAGATTCTCTCTCCCTCTTCCGCTCTGCCCCTTCCATTTGTGCTTTCTCTCCCTCTTAAATAAATCTTTTTAAAAAAGATTAATAGTATATCAGACACTGTAAAATAAAAGACTAGTGAATTTGAAGACACAGCAATAGAAACTATCCAATACAAAACACAGAGAAAAAAGTATTAGAGAATAAAAAAGACAACTTCAAACCACCTAACATAGTTATAATTACATCTCTGTAGCAGGTGGAAGAGTAACAGAAAATATATTTGAAGAAAAAAGGGTCAGGATTCTCTGAATTTGATGAAAATTATAAACTCAAAGATTCAGGAAATCCAATAAAGAAAACCACACCTAGCCACATCATAATTAAGAAATTTTAAAGCAGCCAGAGGAAAAATACACAATATGTAAAAAAATAAATAAATAAAAAATAAAAAAAGTATTCAAAGAAAAAAATGTCACCCTAAAATTCTATACCTGGTTAAAATATCTTTTAAAATGAGGACAGAATTTTGTGTTGTGTTGGCCTGTTACCTCTAGAAAATGCCTAAAAATACTTTTCAAGTCATTTAACATTAAAAGAACAACTACCTTAAATTTCAGTAGAAATAAATCAATACCAAATCAATGCCAAACAATATCAAAGATTTTGGTTCTAAAATGCAATAAATATACTGAAAAGTTCCAAGAAGCCTGCCAGATTAAAACAAACACAAATTATACAGTGGAACTTCTTTTTTTTTTTTTTAAGATTTTATTTATTTACTTGACAGACAGAGATCACAAGTAGGCAGAGAGGCAGGCAGAGAGAGACAGAGAAACAGGCTCCCTGCTGAGCAGAGAGCCTGATGCGGGACTCGATCCCAGGACCCCGGGATCATGACCTGAGCCGAAGGCAGAGGCTTTAACCCACTGAGCCACCCAGGCGCCCACAGTGGAACTTCTTTTAAAAAACCAAAAATTTTGAGGTTCACTGATGAAGGGATATAAAAATTAGTAGGCATTATACACATGATTATATATAAATTTAATAAAATAAATACATTCACACTATACACTAATTGTTTCTTATTGAGATGTAAAATATAAAATATCTTTTGGTATTATAGAAGGCTATCTTACAAATACTTTACTCTTAAAATTCTTAAGTGAACAGGATTGCCAGATAGCTTGAGGATTAGTAACACATTAACACACCTACTAATGTAAATATAATTATTATATAAAGTAGCTGATGTGACAGATTAATGTATTAAGAGCCCTACCAACCTAAGGACAATCAAAATGGAACTTTAAAACACCTTTGAAATAGTATGGAAAACTCATCTCACAAAATGATAAACAATTTATCTCACAAAACTGTAAGGTAACTTTTAATTCTAAATAACAATTTAAGATACTGTATCATTCAAAACAAATAGATTAAAAATAAATATAAAAAATATTAGAATCCCAAAAATCCATTCCACCTTATGAAAAATAAAGTGAATCCTTTTATAACCCCAACTATGGTTTAAGACAGGCCCCTATTGGAGGCACCTGGGCTGCTCAGCTGGTTAAGTGTCCAACTCTTGGTTTTCGCTCAGGTCATGATCTCAGGGTTGTGGGATCTAGCGCAGTGACCTGCTCCACGCTCAGCACAGAGTCTGCTTGAGATTCTTAGATTCTTTCCCTCTCCCTCTCCCTCCCGCTCTTTTCCTCCCTGCCCCCTGAAATGTGCTTGCTCTAATAAATAAAATCTTAAAAAAAAAAATAAAAAGAGGCCCCTGTTGGATATAATTCAAAGATACCTAATATAAAAGAACCCGAAGGACTGCATCATAAAATCATGAGTTAATTATTGTTCTCTGAGTGCAAAGCCTTTTCCATTCATAGGAGTGTTTCAAATAGCAGCTTTTCAAAGTCCTTATTAGGTCTTTTTTTTTTTTTAAGATTTTATTTATTTATTTATTTGACAGACAGAGATCACAAATAGGCAGAGAGGCAGGCAGAGAGAGAGGGGGAAGCAGGCTCCCTGCTGAGCAGAGAGCCCGATGCGGGGCTCGATCCCAGGACCCTGGGATCATGACCCGAGCCGAAGGCAGAGGCTTTAACCCACTGAGCCACCCAGGCGCCCCCAAAGTCCTTATTAGGTCTTAACACTGTACTTTATTTAAAACATTTTAAAGGCATGTTTAAAACTTAAATTTTCAATACTATACACCTGACAAAGTAAAGACAAGTGATAGTGCTTACTGAAAAATCACAATGTTTTTAGGGCTATCTTACCTTCTGGTGTTGGTTTGTCTTGAGGAAGATCTGGCATATTTTCATCCAAGAGGTCTGCTAAGGATTGAGAATTTGCCAGCAGCTTCTGATATGACATAGCAAATTCCTCATACTGTTTATGTCTATCTTCACTTAGCTCCCCTTTAGAATGGAGAATACGCCTATAAACAAATGATGAAATAATCTGATAATCTCATCAAAATACATGTGATCATCATGTATTGTTACACTGGGAATGTTCCATAAAATTTTATTTTATCACATAAGCTTTTTGCATATTTTCTTCAATTTATTTTTATTAACATTTTCAAGATGTATCTGAAAATTAAAACTGGTATAATCAAATTCACCTAAGCAATTAAACTTCAACATTAATTCTTCAAAGGTGATTGTGATTAACTATGCCTGCAGAAATGTAAAATTTGACAATGCCACTAATTAAAAATTATTTTAAAAGTATTTTGTTAAAAATACTCCCTTCAGATAGTTAATCAAAAATACTTAACATACCTAAAAAAGTTACTATTCAAAACAACAGGTTATAAAATCAGTATCCTTAAATTTTTTTACAATGATTTGAATCAAGATTTTTTGAAAAAGCCCACATCTCCCAAACAGCCAATTCTCAGTTTACTGTACAAGTACTGGTTATTTATCCATTTAATGAATATTAATGGAGCAACACACTTAAGCAAGGCCAGGCCATCTCAGGAACAGAGAATACAACTAGTCTTCCACTCTACAAACAAATCACTAATAAGCCACCCATAATCAGAAATACAGAACTATTGAAAATTTTCAAAATGAACAGTGAAATAAAAATCTTACTATATAAACAGATAGCTGAGATGTCTATACCTGCATCTACTTATGACTAAGTACATACATAATAACATGTGAAATGTAAAACCTTACTGCAAATACAGTATGTTTCAAAAAGCCAATTATAAATATAAATAAAGTTATTTTCAAAATATGCAAGTTTTTTATTACTTGTCATTTGAGTTTTCTTATGAACAAGGAAGAAAATGAGGTGTTTTTTGGTGATGTTATCTTATTAAGAGCTACAGAAAATAAAGTGAAAAACCATGCCTAAATTTACTCATCCCAGCTTACCTAGAACAATTTCCAAATTTTCCTATCTTACCCGATTTCTACCCACATAAACTTTTGTTTAAATGCTGTAACATTCCAGCCAACATTTTCTAAGTTAGGAATATCAGCTCTCATTATAAGCACAGGGTAGATCAATGCATAGGATACTATTCATTAAATCCAATCTTCTGTTTTCAAATCCAGCCTATTAGGAATTCAAAACGAAGAATTTTCACTCATTTTCTTACTATTTAAAAGTACACTAGTATCATTCAATGAACAAGAATAGAGTTTCTCTCTTTAACCACTGATTTCAAACTAATTTTACAGGAAAAAATTCTTTCAGTAAGTTTTATGAATGAATTCTAAACCCAAAACATTCAAAAATGCTGAACTCATGAAAGCAATGACTATTACTCTGAATGAGGAAGCTTGTTAGAACTTTTAATTAGAAGTTGTATCATTTTTGAAGATAAAAAAGACACTAAAATTAAATAAATTGTTTAAATTAATACTCAAAAGTAGGCTATTCTAAAATGTTCTGCAGTGTACTATTAGAAAAAATGTTAGTCAATAAAAACTTCAGTTTATTCTGTAAGATTTACTGTAAGATTAACTGTAAGATTATGTTCAGAGTGATAGTAACAGTCCTGAGAGATTTCAAAACATCTACTGACAATTAGGATGCAAAATTATTTCAGTACTTGAAAAGAAATTGGAAAACATCTCAAAATAACAGAACCTGGAACTTTCTCTAACAAGTTCTGACATTCTAGTAATCTGAAGAACATATATGCAGTTTTAGGTTATATATTCACCAAGCATTTATAATATATAAGCAGTAATAAAGTGATGACTATTTTATCACAATGTAAAAGACTGATACTTTCTCCAATATCAATCTCATTTTCAAACATCTGCCTGTGACTTCGCATTCGATCAATTAACAGTGATTTAATTCTATGATAGTTCCCTCTGTACACATTCCAGTTCCTTTCCAATCACCCTAAAACAAATTAGAAATTCTGAAGCTCCAGAGGTAACTCCCACACTCCCCCAAAGCTCAATCCCATGATCAAATTTTTTAACAGTACTATTTTACCTAACTGCTTAACCTACATGTGCTTAGGTCAAACCTAGCGAGAACAGTCCTCAGGACAAAAGCTTAGGTTTTGGCAGATGTATTTTCTAATCATATCTTACACTAAAAGCTTAGCAAGCAGCACAAGATATCAATGAAATGGCATTGGAAGAGTTCTGTCATACACAAAATTTACTTAGTCCTACATATTTTCCTTGACCATTTATTTAATATATTTACTAAGCATCAGACTAAACACACAACACCTCGTAAGACTATAAATTTCAAGCAGAGAAATAAATGCATCATAGGTACCTGAACATTCAAAATCCCTAGAGTCATTTAGAAGTGCCCATCAAATTAAAATGAAACAACTTTTAATGACTATACCATACATGGCAGTTTTTTATGTTTATGAAATCCCCTGGAAAAGATTTTCAGTTTGATTAACTTTTTTAGAAGACCTATATGAGGGAACTAAACATTATGCAGCACATTTGACCAAAGTACCTACTCTCTTGTATAAATCTCACCAAATTTTCTTATGAGAATTCCATGGGACTATATCACTATGCAAAATCAAGCTAAATACATGATTTATCACATATCATTTTAATTACAATCTCTTCAGAAGGACATATATTCAGAAAGTTGAATAGAAGCCATTCTTTTTGAGATGGTCATAAATTAGAGGTTAGCAAACTATTTCTGCAAAGTGTCCAGATATAAGTATTTTAGGCTTTACAGACCACACATTCTTTGTTGCAGCTACTCAACTCTGCTGATACGGCACAAAAGCAGCCATAGATAATACATAAACAAATGAACATGACTATGTTCCAATAAAACTTTATCTATGGACACTGAAATTTGAACTCATATAATTTTAGTATTTCACAAAATATTTCTCTTTTGATTTTTTTCCTAACCATTCTTATTCTTAGCTCACCAGCTGTTTTAAAAAATAGTGGTGGGTCTACCTGGCCTGTGGGCCATAGTTTGCCAATCCGTGCTATAATTAGAGTTCACTGAATCATCATCTGTTAAATGTATTGCAAGTGAGTACATTCTCTCTCATGACATCACTATAAAATAGGGAGTTACTGGGAGCATTTTAAAGATGTAAAAAACAATGAAAACAAAATTAATTCCAAATCTTATTCATTGTAATAAAAATACAAGATAGTAGACCTCCTTCACTCGATGATGAGTTATCACTATCTGGAAGCAATCCTAAGGTACATCAATCTTTGATTTCTAGTGTTTTTTATATTACTAATTCAACACTGTAAAGCTGACAGAAAATATCAAATAGTCCATTCTTGAATGGAGCATTCTATCTCATGAGAAAAGTCATAAATGCCTCAAAAAAATTCTATTAAAAGACATATTTTTGTTTTGTTTTCCTTTTATAAATCTTTCTTATTGCTTGACACTTTCGTTCTTTTATTTTATATACTGTTTACTGTTGTTTTGCATTGTTTTAAAAATACACATTTTCAAAATCATCAAAAGGCACAAGAGAAATTCTCATCAAGTCTTTCTGAAGGATTAAGCAGGCAATATATTACAAATAATAAACTCACATTTATACTTACAATGAGCCAGATACTGTTATTAAAAGTGCTTTTACACGTGAATTCACTGCATCACTCACATTTATCTCAGAGGTAGACTGCTATTATTCCATTTCACAAAGAGAAAACTGAAGCACAGAGATGTGAGATAACTTGCCAAGAATTACAGAACTGAGTAAATAACAGATCTAAGATTTGAACCCAAGGAGACTGGCTCCAGAGTCCATGCTTACAACTATTAGACTATACTGCCTCCCAAATTAAAATTACCCACTTGGTACCCTATACTGAAATCAGAATGTCTCTCAAATGCATATATCAACGGCAAGCCTTCTCACACTGGGGTGTTTATTTTATATTCCTTCGGGTTCTTCTGTTTGGATCTCACTTGGTAAGTACTTAGAGGCTACTGTGTTTACCAGACACTTTAAAATCAAGTACAAGGGGCACCTGGGTGGCTCAGTGGGTTAAGCCGCTGCCTTCGGCTCAGGTCATGATCTCAGGGTCCTGGGATTGAGTCCCGCATCGGGCTCTCTGCTCAGCAGGGAGCCTGCTTCCCTCTCTCTCTCTCTCTCTGCCTGCCTCTCTACTTGTGATCTCTCTCTGTCAAATAAATAAATAAAATCTTTAAAAAAAATAAAATAAAATAAAATAAAATAAAATCAAGTACAAGTACTAAATGGAGATGAAGATGAGTAATATGGAAATTGTGAAAAGTACAATACGACGAGGTATGGAAAGAACTGTATCTGTCACTTGCTATATAAATCACAATGGGCAAGCTCTTTAATCCCTAGATCTGATCACCTTCAAAACAGAAGTATTTCTTTCAAGGGTACTATGAAGGTCAATTAAAATCAAACACGTGATGCACTTTATCAATGTACAACAGTATTTTAATGAGAAAAAAATGCGACAGCCCACTGTGAAAAAGGTAAGATCTTCAATGCCAAATATTATTTGATCTTGTATTAGCCAAATTAAAAAAGAAAAGAAATCTTGGCAAGAACACAGAAAATCCATTTTAGCTTTGAGCTAATACAGTCATGCAAAATAACACAGAACACATGGCCAAAATCTTGAAAAAAATAATCATAAAGCAGACTATGAAAAACAACTAGGTTTCACTTGTCTCCTTTAGCAATTAGTCAAATTTTCAAGCCAATGAAATTTTCTTTTGGTTTCATTTTACAATTTGGTTATGGGGTGCCTAGGTGGCTCAGCTGGTTAAGCAACTGCCTTCGGCTCAGGTCATGATCCCAGGGTCCTGGGATTGAGCCCTGTGTCAGACTCCTTGCTCAGAAGGGAGCCTGCTTTTCCCTCTTCCTCTGCCTGCTACTCCACCTGCTTGTGCCTGCTCTCTGTCAAATAAATAAATAAAATTTAAAAGAAAAATTTGGTTATGGGTGTCTTAAAATCCTGTATGAAAAGACACTACAGCATAATAAGCATAACTACTCAATCAAGTATTTATTAAGTAACTGTCAAAGCCATTGAATGAGAGAGAATTTCAGGAAAGATGTAACTATTTTAGAGTACTTACAAAATTGTTAAAGCCTCGTTGAGCCTTAAGTACAGTGAAAGAACATCTTAATAGTGCTTAAATGCTATACAATTTATCAAACATTCCACCTATAAAAGCAAGGTACAACTTACCTGGAAGGAAAGAGGAAGGTAAAAGCAACACTACTTAATTTTACATTAATGTGCTTTTAAGTTTTAACACTGGCAAAGTAATACTGCATGAATTTGCAATAAATGAAATAAATCTCCGATTTTATTAACAACGGGGAAAGCCTACATTCTACTTATCTTTCTCCTATACTTTCAATCAAATCACTTAGCGCTGTCTGAACACGTTATCATAAAGGTCCTATTCACCACTACTGAAAAAAGAAACTTTTGCCACCATTCCCACCAGTTAGGGAGAAAGAAAGGAATTAAGACATTTCAAAATTATTCAAGCAAGAACTGACTTAATATATGAATTCATGATTTCACTTCTGCAAGAAACAGTTACATATTAAATTATATCTAATAAAATTAAATAATTTCTTCAATTTTTATTAAATGCCAAAAAATAGTAGGCCATATTACCTTCATGAGGATAATATCTCATAGCACAAAGCATTTTAAGTAAAAAGAGCACCGAATATTATAAAAAGCAAAACCTACCAAGTTAAAGCTATTAACTCTAAACTGGCAGATGTTACCACATATTTTCAAATGTGTAAGTATTAATTATACTCCCCAGGATCAATCACTTAATCAAAATGTATTTTAAAAGTTCTTTGAGGTACAAAAAGCTAACAAGGTCAAATTTATGAGAATTCACCAAATCCTAAGGTCAGCTGTATTACTTGCTTATAGGGGCTTTGAAACAGGACTAGCTATCTAACACCTGTAGTATCAGCCCACGTAACATGAGAAAAGAACAGCTAAGGCTCAACAGGTCTTATCCAGTCACTGTCTTCATTCACTCATTAGTGTCTCTTAGAAAATACCAGAGATTTTATTATTCTATTTTTTTAATTTGGCTGAAAGAATTCTTAAGTATAGACTTTAATGAGTATAGACAAAGACTTCACAACCTCTATGAACAGTGCCATCTCCCAAGTTAATTAAAATGACCCAAAGCATTTAGGTCTCACAGACTGAAAATAGAAAGCATTTTTTTAACTGTCATTATTAAGATATTGAATAAAGGCTTAAAGTAATTTAACTGCATGAGTCTTAAATATCCGCTAGCTCAGCACTGAGATTTCCAGCATTACCATGCCTAAAAGAAACCTTACTGGGTAGACTATTGTCCACAATTGTTCCCATGATGTAGAATAATCTCAAAACACCTACTGGGTAATGACCAGGAAGGGAAAACCTTGGGAAACTGGTCATTTTAACAGTACACTGTGATGTACTAATACTAGGCCAAGGGACTCCACTAATCCATTCCTCATGTTCTCTCAGTCAGTCAGGTATTCAAATCTACACTACAGAGGCTGCTCAATTTAAAGCTATCCTAAGGCATGAGTTATTTATTAAGCCATAGGCCAATTATTTTCTACACTGTGATTAAGACTTTCCCATCTCCCTGGCTGCCTGAATGGCTCAGTCAGTTAAGCAGCTGCCTTCAGCTCAGGTCATTTTACCAGGGTCCCGGGATCAAGCCCCACACTGGGCTCCCTGCTCAGCAGAGGACCTGCTTCTCCCTCTTCCTCTGTCACCTGGCTTGTACTCTCACTCTCTCTCTGTCAAATAAATAAAATCTTAAAAAAAAAAAATTTTTCCCATCTCCCAAATTATTACATCTAAGTAGACAGTATCCCATGATAAAATGACTGCTACAATGCTAGGTGAATTTATACTAGGTAAATAACCTCCTCTAATAACCACACGTTAACAGTTCTCTTTAAATGAGTAAAAATTTCTAGGTAAAGGCCACAAAATCATGCTCTTAACACTACATCCCGTTCAAAATTTTCATGACGACTTGAATAATATAAAAGAACAGGTCTGCTTATCAAAGGTGAATGGGACCAGCATGTAAGTACATAATAATATATACAGCAGATAATAACATAATCAATATTCAAAATTATCATTAGGATAAAGTAATATGCCAAAAACATCTAAATAAAGTTGAAAGAGGTAAATGCATTCAGGTTTAAGAGATGATTTCCACTAGTTCAAGGTGAAGAACTGGTCTGGCAGCGGTTCATTTGAGAAATTAATCTTCTGGTATATACAAGTTCACAGTCAAAAGAATGACAAGGCAGCTATAAAAAGCAATGGAATCTGAGGTTACAGTAGGAAAAAAATGCATCCAAAACGAATGTCCTAAGGATAGGCGTGTAGGAATCATGCAACAAGCTGAAGGAACAAGAGGTGTTTAGCCTTGAGAAGATGAAAAGGGAAACATCCTAGCAGTCTGCAAATATCTGAGCTATTATCATGGGTATGAAAGAGGAGACATGTCCCACATCAGTGTTTCTCAAACTACCTATGGTAAAGGAATTAGTTTTTTTTCCTCATCACTACAGATGCTTTTATAAAATACAGTAACAATATAAGAACTATGGAAAACTGTTATAAAGATGTCTAAATGCTTTGTCTGTTCCTATACTTAATTCATTGCAAATAGGTAAACAGTTCATGAACCCCCATTTTAAGCCGCTTTATTTCATTGTACCAGAAATCAAAATCCAGATTTACCAGAAGTTAAATCAAAGGGAACCATTTTATGGGAAGTTAAATTGCCGCTTGAATTCCCAGTAAGTAGGTGTGCCAACACTGGAATGGCACTTTCAAAGAAAGAATACTTTATCTGTCAGATAATCTATAAAATGGACTCTTGCACTGGTAAGATGATTGGATTAAATCATTGTAGACTCTACCCTCTAAGCTCCCTTGAGGCCAATCAGAAGTAAACACACACACAAAATCCCTAAAGTAGCCAATAAAAAGTAATCAAAGCATACTATAAAATCAGCCATGAGGTATTAGGTAGAACATATGGGGGGGGGGGGAAGGACTAAGAAAATGACAAAACACTATGTCAGCTGTAATTAAGATACCTTAAATATGTAAGAATTAGAGGGCCACCATTTTCTTTTTAAACTCATTACTGACTACATAAATACACCCTGAAGTTGCCTATTCGAAGTTTAAAACAGACCTCACTATTCAAAAGCACAAAACAAAGATCTTTTTTTTCTTTTTTTTTTTTAAAGAAACCCTGAGGAACACCATTGCCATCTTAAACTCTCCCATCCTGAGTGACCCTCAACCATCACGGTTTAGTCATATGGTCTGTGGACCTATCTTGATGCAGACCTAACTGTACTGCTACAGTCTTCGCTTCTAGTTAAGTCAATCACCTTCTGAATAAACCAGCACGTCCTTCGCAACTGCAGGTTTACAGAAATAAAGTGTACCCTCCCATACTACTTCTTGAAAAACAGCAATTTCAGACTCTTAACCATGCACTTTAAACAGGTGCAAAGTACTCAGCCAAACGTTACTGCTGTTGTCTCCTTTCTGTACTCCTCAGCCCTCCTCCAAATGCACCCTCCATAAAAACTGATCTACTGCCCACCAACTACATCAGCTTCTCACTTGTTGACGCCTCCCAGCTTCTAACTTGTTGATACCTTCCAGGTACAGAGGCTACACAGCAGTCAAAGGTGGCCGCTCAATCAGGTATCTTCACTAATTACCACAGGCCTACATTATTCCACATTATTCCCTGAAACTTTAAATGGATGTTCCCAGGAGAAAGACTCCTATAAATGCACTTTACATAGTAGCATTTAAGAAATTTTTTTTCACATCTAACTTGTACTTTTTCTCATTTCTGCTCTAAAGACTCATCTTCTAAGAAGTAGTACTATCAACAGTGACATCAATAAGAAGGATACAAAACAATGAAAGCAAAACTATTATAGAGAGGGCACAACAAAACACACAAAAATAACAGCAGGTTACGTTAAAGCGACAGAAAAAGAAAATTTATCCCTCAACATCAAGGAGTTTTTTTTTAAGTCACAGGAAGAAAACACATCCACAAAGTAAAAATCACCATATACTTGCCAGATTTCTTTCAAATTTATAAATAAAATCTATCACAGACTCCCATTTAAACATGAGTACTTAGACTGGGACTTTGAAATTCTCCTGGAAATGTTAAGAAATCACCTGCAATGAGCCCTTTCCACAAGTTCTTTCAGTGGCATGAATGAAGACTTTGGAAATTTTTAAGTATGAGCTCCAAAACAAATTCTCAATTCTGAGAAATATTTGAAAATCACCTGTTTTGTCTCTCAGTATTCTGAAGCTCCCTGTGGTCCCTTTTCAGGTGTTTGGTCAAAGATGTAAAGTATTCTTTTAAAAGATTCTGGAAAGGTTGTTGTTTCTCTGGACTAATTATCTCACTAGGAGGAAAACTCAAATTAAACTTCTCTGCAGCACTCTTCACTTTCCGTGGCACAAGTCCAGCTATATCATCTCCACAATGTCGACAAAAACTAATCACCACAGAAACATGAGTATGGGATTCCCGATCAGCATTAATAATATTTTTTAGCTGTTCATAGATTAAGGAAAGACCTTCCTTATCAGTGAAAATCCCAACTATTGTCAATTCTGCAATGAAACGCAAATCAGTTCTTAACTTGGTAATGTTAGGCGTTTTCTCTTCTTTCCTCGCTTCAAAATGTTTTTTCCAAACCTGAAGAAGTGATGGAGCGAAGTCGGCATAACGCTGGTGAAAGAGAGAGCACAAGTGCACAGCACAGTTCACATCAGATATTTTTAGCTTTGCTTCCACAATAGAAGCTACAGCTTCTGCAATGTATTTGCTTAAATTTAGGCCATTAAAATCATGGGACAAGGAGTCTCTCTGTTGTTCCGTAATAGTTTTTAGTTTCTTGACAAAAGCAGTATTTTTCTTCAAACTTGAGTCTAGTCGGCTGAAGAAATTTTCCTCTGGTCGGTTGTCTGGAGCATTTTGGTTTTTGCTACGAAGGTCCTTCCTTAACTGATGTCGTTCCCAGGCTTCCTGATGAAGCTGAAGGGATTCCTCTTTCTCTCTACATAAAAAACAAACACGTAAATAAAATACCTTGTATATTTTGAAAAATCACTGACAAATGTCATAAGACTGAAAGACAATGAAAACATAATCGTATAAGGATCAGCATCCTAAAGAAACGAAACACACAAAAAGCCCTTTTCCTACCTTTTTTCCGATTTTTTTTTCAACTCACAACCCTGAAATCAAGACCTGAACAAGAGTCAGACACTTAACCAACTGAACCACCCAGGTACCCTGACTTTAAGATTATGTTTTTAAATAATCTCTGCATCCAGATGGGGTTCAAATTCACAATCCTGAGATCAAAAGTTGCATGCTATACCAGCTGAGCCAGCCAGGCATCCCTTTTCCAACTTCTAAAGACATTTTATTAATGACTTAGGATGGTAAGAACCCAGTATACTGAAAATACCAAATGTTGCAGAGTGGATGATTCTGACTAACTAGAGCAACATCATTCTGTCAACTGGCAAACTAAATGGATAAAATACTTTTGTCAATTCTACCTCAATAAAGCTACAAAAATTAATGGATTAAACACACAAAGCACTAAATGAAAAATACAAAATAATATGCCTGGGAAAGATATAAGACCTAAAACAGATAAAAGCACTGGGAATATAGGGGAAAAGAAAAATGTCCACTAAGAATATTTTAAAGAACAATGTTTATTAAAAAATGCATTAAAAATGTTTTGATATGGGGGCACCTGGGTGGCTCAGCAGGTTAAAGCCTCTGCCTTCAGCTCAGGTCATGATCCCAGGGTCCTGGGATCGAGTCTCACATCGGGCTCTCTGCTCATCGGGGAGCCTGCTTTCTCCTCTCTCTCTGCCTTCCTCTCTGCCTACTTGTGATCTCTGTCTGTCAAATAAATAAATAAAATCTTTAAAAAAAAAAAAATGTTTTGATATGTTAAGTACCACTTTTCCATATTTTTCAGGCTAAACCAAACCTCTAATAAAGTACCTTTCTCAGTTTGGGTCTTAAATTTCAAGTGTAATTAAGAAAATCTGAAAAGGAACCAGAAGATAATTATAAGATACAACTCCTTTAATTTTAAAAAAAGCTAACAGTTTATCCTGAAAAAAAAAATTTAAAAATGGAACATGTTTAAATCGCAAAAGTAGTAAAATAACTTGAGCAGGAGCAGGAAGGTACAATCTGACTTTGAGGCTACTGTGATACCAAAGTATGTAACTTTAAAATATAAATTTCTAAAAAACAGATTTGTACCTTTCAGAGATAACCATCCCTGAGCTACACTTCTATGACTTTTCAACTAAAAGCCACAGTAAGTTAACAAGAAGTTGCATCCATCACTGGGAACACAGGATATATGAGTATCTCTCGGAGTCTCCCAGCTACACACAAAATAAAGGATTAACAGTGAGAGCACACTTTAAGAATAACTCATCATGTATATGCCTTAAGTAAGTCCATTTTCATCTGCAATAGAAATACTTTAAGATACATAAATGAAATATTTACCACTGAAAAAATAATGCTTTAAAGTACTCCAAGAAAAAAGGGGATAATTGTTGATGCTGAGTAGATAGACAGTTGAGGGAGTTGGGAGGACTGGTTCGTTATTCTACTCTGTTTTTTGCATATCTGGATTTTTCCCAATAAGAAGTTGGGAGTCTGGTGGTTTGGTTTTTTCGTTTGTTTGTTTGTGGGGTTTTGGGGGGTTTTTTTGTGTGTGGGGTTTTTTTTTGGTTTTTTTTTTTGCTCTTTCTATACTAGGGTAGAGGGAAGAGCAAAAGTCACAGTGAAATTGAATATCCTTCTGAATATTTTATAATTAATTTGAATACATTTTTAGCACAAATTTAAAATAGTTTAATTTTAACATGTAATTAAAATAAAATAAGCAGTGAAATACATTACGTTCTTTTTTTCATGAGCCTTAAAATCAAGTGTTAACACTCACATTTACATCAATCTCATTTTGTGCCCACCTCATTCTTTATGGGTCCACAGCTCCTTTTAAGTTGTTTTTTTGTTTGTTTTTTTTTTTTAAGTAAATTATAAGCAAGAAACTCTCAAGAATCATGGCTCTGAATATTCCCAAACTGGCCTCTACTACTGCCTTCCACACATAAGGCTCCAGTACCTCACTAAAAATAGAAGGGCTAAAGAACTTTGGTAGGAGAATAGGTGGTTGAGCTGTTCTAGAGATCCATGAAAATTCCTATTTGTGCACACACACACACACAGATCCATGAAAATTCCTAGTTGAGCACGCGCACGCGCGCACACACACACACACACACACACACAAAGGGGACAGCCCATGCTACTCAACAGTTGTCACTCATGCTACATCCTAGTAGTCTTCCTGAGAATTACTGCTTTTCTCCAGGTCATTATGCTACCTATATAGATTTACAAGGTTAAAAATATATATATATATTTTTTTAAAGATTTTATTTCAGGGAAAGAGAGAGAGAGAGCAAGAGCACACACGTGCATGAGCAAAACAGGCATGAACAGGAGGAGAAGCAGAGGGAGAAGCAGACACCCTGCTGAGCAGGGAGCCAGACGTGGAGCTCGATCCAAGGACCCTGGGACCATGACCTGTGCCAAAGACAGACACTTAACCAATTAAGCTAGGCGTCCCTAAAAACAGATTTAGATGAAAATAAAAATGGGAAGCATTATGGCATTCTTTTTAGGGACAAGTTTTTAAAGTCACCTAGGTTCAAAAAACCCAGCAACTCCACTGTTCACTGTAACCTCCTCAAACTTCATTTTATTAGTCTTTCAAACAAGGATCGTTACGGCTGCCTTTAGGACATGTGCTGATATATTTTGTAGTGCCTCGCACATATTAAGAATTTAGCAAATAAGACCCATTAAGAACTGAAGATTTTCAACATAAGACAGAGACCAGAAAAAAAAGCTTTTAAAAAAGTCAGAAACAATCCAGATTACTCCACACCTCAAAAAATATGTTAAAATTCCTATTATTTAATACAAATAATTAGGGGGCACCTGGGTGGCTCAGTGGGTTAAGCCTCTGCCTTCAGCTCAGGTCATGATCTCAGGGTTGTGGGATCGAGCCCTGCATGGGGCTCTCTGCTCAGCGGGGAGCCTGCTTTCCCCTCTCCCTCTGCCTGCCTCTCTGCCTGCTTGTGATCTCTGTCAAATAAATAAATAAAATCTTTAAAAAAAAATGCAAATTATTAAAGCATCATAAGCATGCCTCTAGTCACTGAAAATAACAGATCAAGTAACCGAAGATACTCTCGTTGAAGTGCACCCAGAAGTCTGATCCAAATAATCACTGCTTTCCTACTATTTCAATCTTCCCATTCCTTCATATCAATAACTGCTCTTACTTCAACTGGGCAGCTTCTTCTTCTTGCTGACGTTTTGCCTGCTCTTCTTGCTTCTTTTTCTCTTCCTCTTCATGTTTCTTTTTTTCTTCTTCCTCTTTTTTCTTTAATTCTTCCTCTGCCTTCACCTTTTCTTCTTCTTTTTTCTTTCGGTCCTTGTCTTCTTTTTTTCTCTTATCTTCTTCCAGTTTCTTCTTTTTATCTTCAGGGACCTTAATAACCTCCTTCTTGGCAGTAAGCTTGATCTCATCTTTTGGTTTCTCCCTGCTACTCACTGGCCGCCTTTCACTGCAGTCTTTTTCCTTGTTGTTTAGTAAAGTTTCTTTTTCTTCCATACTTGCTGGCTTTTTACGCTCAGCTGGCATTATGTTACCCAGAACAATCTGTAAGAGTAAAAAAGAATGTCAGTATTCTTTGTACTATTGTAGATGCAGTGACTTTTAGTAATGTGACACTGTTTTCTAAACAGAACATATTAATGAAATTGTTGTGGAAGATTAAATAAATGCATGCAAAATGAACACTATTTCTGTGATAAAAATAATTTCTTGGTTACACTCCACATCCTATCTTTATTAGTTACACCTCATCTAAGTATTTTTTTACCTTTTTTTAAAAGATTTTATTTATTTCTTTGACCAACAGAGATCACAAGTAGGTGAGAGGCAGGCAGAGAGAGATGGGGGAAAGCAGGCTCCCCACCGAGCAGAGAGCCCAATGTGGGGCTCGATCCCAGGACCCTGAGATCATGACCTGAGCGGAAGGCAGAGGCTCAACCCATTGAGCCACCCAGGCGCCCCATTTTTTTGCTTTTTATTAAGGAAAAACTGAAACACAAACAAAAGTATAGAGCGCAATATAACCAACCTCCACATACTCACTACCCAAATTCAACCATTAGCAACTACAAAACATAACATTCAATTAAATACTTCAGTATGTATCTGAGAATATTTTCAATCCGTTTTAATCCCAACATTTCACATCTGTTAGGAGGTGCTGGTGACATATTTCACACAACATGGAATAGAAGTTTTTAAGTTGGAACATAAGCTCTTGCCTCCTATAAATGAACTGACATGACAAAAGAGACGACAGAAGACAGATTTCACGTTATCATTCTAACCTTATCAAACTTTCGAATACAGAAACCATCAACTATCTCAAATTATACTAGACTTTTAATCTTTTCATTAGTACTAGTCAAAATTAATCTATTAATAAACATAATGATGTTTACAAAATCTGTATATTCTGTCTACATCTGCCAATACAGTAGCCACCAGCTCAGGATTTCTCAGGCTTGGCACTACTACCATTTCAGGCAAGCTAATTCTTTGGGAGTTTTGGTGGGGGAAGGGAGGATACTGACACTATTTTGTGCACTTTATGTTTGCAGCATCCCTGCCTTTCTACTAAGGAGGTGCCAGCAGTCATCTCCCCACTTCTGACAACCAAAAACTACTCCAGAAACTGCCAAATGTTGCCTGGGGACAAAATCACCACCAGCTGAAAAACAGTGCACTAGCCACACATGGCTACTTACATGAAAATTAATTAAGAGTTTGAAATTTTGTTCTTCAGTCACTACCCATATTTCAAGCGCTCAATTTCACATGACTAGCAGCTACCACATCAGACAGTGCAGAAACACAACATTTTAATTATCACAGAAAGTTCTACTGGATAACACTGGTTGACAGTACAGGCTCTATACAGTTAAATGGAAATAAACTGGGGGACAAAAAACTGTAATTCTTAGCAAAATTCAGCATTTTTCTTTCCTAAAAAATTTCTCTACTTAGAACTAGTGTTCTAATGTAATTTCTTTTATGGATAGTGCTTCATGTTGTAAGTCCTACATCATCTGAAAATTGTATATGAGAAAATCAAAATACTTTCTATTTAATACAGAATTAAACTATTTAAAGTTCCTAATTTTATTAAGAGCTAAAAATATACACAGTATTCTTAATCATTTTCAAACACAGATTTTAAGTTATAGCAATAAAAACTAGGTTAGCAAACAAAACATTTGCAATAATAAATATTTTATAAACACAATACATTTATTTCAGCAGTCCAATAGGATGTTATCACAGAAAAAAAACCCAGGCCAATAGAAGCCCTTTAAGTAATTTTTGGAGGCACAAGCAACACTCTATTTTCTCTCAACCATCTCTTCCCTTCCCTTTTTCTCCTTTACTCTGACTCTCCTCCAGGTCCACATTCTATGCATTTATTTTCTTTTTAAGATTTTATTTACTTATTTAAGAGAGAGAGAGAGAATGAGTGGGGAGGAGAGGGAGAAGCAGGGAGCTCTTGTGGGGCCTGATCCCAGGACTCTAGGATCATGACCTGAGCTGAAGACAGACACTTAACTGACTGAGCCACCCAGGCGCCCCTACATTCTACCTTCTGTGCACTTATTTTAACAATGACGCCCAAAGGCTTCAGTTAACCTCAGTGGTGGAACTCAAGAAAAAAAGCTCTTAATCCTGTTGAAGCAATCATTAAAACGCCAAACAGCATAATTACTTACTTGCGTGTCAAGGCAGTCTTGACATTTGTATCATCTGGGAAGAATAGCAGCTTCAAATAACCACCTTTAGTGTGAAAAAACCATGCCCTAAACCAAGCAAACTTTAAAGAAAGTACTCATAGCTACCACTCACTGACCACACAGTAAACATCTTACACACATTATCTCATTTAATACTAAAATCTTTATGAGGTGGGTATTATTTTCCCTATTTTATCAATGAGTTAACTGAGACTTGACCAAGGCCTCCACAGCTGGTGACAGCTGGAATTGGAACCCATACTCTCAGCTAAAGTTATTAAGAACCTTGAGAGTACCAAACTGTGAGGTGGAAGACTTGATCACAGATATTGACAAATCATAGACTTATGCATCTGAATTGAAAAAGTCCCTGATAATGGCTAAGCAGTTTTTACAACACTTTTAACTTTTGTTAGACCCTAGCTAAAACATACAGGAGAAGATAATTCCTAATGTTAACAATACAATCTTACTTAGGGATATTTGTCATTATGCGCAAAAAAATAATACTCTTTATATACAGAGTTGGTATTTTCTGAAGTGAAGTTTATCAACAAGCGATACTTCAATGATACAAGAACTACAGAAAATAAAAAGAATGGCCTAAAAATTTACAAGTAATGTTTCATTTATGACGATAATTTAGATATTAAGTTCTATAAAAACATTAAATTCACTTGGAATCTAACAAATTCATAAAAGATCATGTATTAGCTTTACAGAGTCTCCTAAACTTTTGTGACTCTCTACAGTATTTATTCATTCAATAAATGTTTAGGGGCGCCTGGGTGGCTCAGTGGGTTAAGCCTCTGCCTTCAGCTCAGGTCATGATCTCGGAAGCCTGCCTCCCCCCACCTCTGCCTGCCTTTCTGCCTACTTGTGATTTCTCTCTCTGTCAAATCAATAAAAAATCTTTAAAAAAAAATAAATGTTTAAGTGCCTATTATATCAAACTGTAGCAGGCACTCATGAATTGATCCTGCTCTAGAACATAAAAAGTAAGACCCTTAAATCTTCATACTGATAACTTCTTTGAATCACTTCATCCTTGTATTAAAAGCATATCCATACCCAAAATACACTTTGAACTAAATTTCAGTGAACAAAAAATGTGACAGAAATGTAAAGACCATGTAAACACCAGCAATGCAACATGTGAAAACAGTATAGGCTTTGAAGTCAGACTTTTAAAGTTTGCATCCCAACTCTGCAACCTGCTAGCTATGGGAACTGGGAAACTTTACTTCTGAGTCTATTCATTGATAAAGTGGAGGTATTTCTACATCTCCTACAGAATTCTTAATCTACTAACATGGAAGGTAGTATCAAGAAGGCATTCAATAAATGTTTATTCTTTCACACAGAACACTGAAAAGTTCATTGGAAGATGAGATTTTTTTTTTTAGAATTAGGACCACCAGACTTTACTCCAATTCTCAATTTTTACATTGACATGGCAGCAGAGGCGTGACCTGCCCGATTACACTAGTTTAATGGCTGGGTCAAGACTCACTGTCCAGTGCTCTTCTCCACTATATATGACTCAAGATTTTAAAAGCCAAACAAAATATACCAAGAACCTAATTTAGATCCGTATGCATTTGTACTGTCAATTAAACTGTTTAGTGAAATGCTAATATTTCTTTAAATTATTTTGACAATCATGCTTTAATAAACACCCAAATATTTTAACTGAACTATTTCAAAATGTTTTTCAAGTAAAAACTTAAATTATAAATAGATTTCATCTCAAAATAATCAAGATCAATATTAGTGATCTTTTTTTAGTTCTTACAAATTACTCAATACAATTACAGCCAGTCCTTAAAAGGAAGCCATGTTTTAAAACCACCTTCCTAGCTCCCCAAGTAGTGCCCTGGCCTTTGGGCTGTATATTTTATTTGATTTTCTAAACATACTCTGAATGTCCAAAAGAAAGTAGAACTACTTCATTAGCAAAACAGGTACCCAGGGAGTGTACCAGGGGACAGAGTGCAGAGTAAGGGTGTTTCCCTTTTAGAGATAGTCCTCTAGCAAAGTACCATATGGACCATGTATGAAATCACAATCAGACTGCTCTGAAAATAGTCCAGAGAAAGACAATACTGTTTCACCTTTTCATTCTGTGTTATTCAAAATGTCCTAAGCCCCAACTGCACAAGGGCTTTATCTCCCAGTGTCTGGCTTTATAAAAAGCCCTTAATATCAAGGACTCGTTCAAAGTTTTTATAAATTTCACCAGAGTTCAAAACTGGTTTTCTTGATGAGTTGTACAATTTTTATAAACACCTAAAAACTACAATAAACGATAAGGGTGAGTGATCGTTTTACTTTGGTCTGATGCATTACCACATACAAGTCCTAAAAGAGCAGGAGAGCTGATGGCCCAGCTCAGTGTGTACCCCAAACTCGTAAGCTGGCTCTGTCTGGTCAACCTGACAACCAAATACCTTGTGATGATCTCCTCAGTTCAAAAGTACCAATGAGAGTAAATACTAGGAGCTTTGGGATGAAGGCGAAGGCAAAGCAAAGAACCCTCAGCCTATGGGACTAAAAAGAAGTAAACCAAATAACCCATGCCCACCCTTCCCAAACACCGAAACCCCTTCCCCTCCACACGTATCTCCCACAAACCCCTGCTCCGGCTGCACATTCCCATACCCCACACGCTTCCCCGCCACAACTCTCCTTCTTACGAGTACCTACGGTCACCTTCGTTGACCATCCTCGCCCCAACCCTAACTTCTCACCCCACACTCCCTCACCACCCGAGACCGAGACTCTCCGGCTGGTCTCCCTACTCCACATCCTCCCACTCAACGCACCCTCCCCACTTCCTCGCCCTCGCTTCCCTCCCGGCTCCCGAAGAGCTTTCCCCAACCTCCCCTCGCTCTACTCCACACCCCCAAACACCTTCACCCCGCCACAGCAGGCTGCCCGCCTTCAGCCCCGAGGCCCAGCCCGGGCATGTGGGGCAGACACCCCCTCGACTGCCCCTCATGTCTGCCCCGGGCCGGGGGCGCCCGCGTTGATCGGAGTCTCCGGGAGAGGGGTCTGAGGAGGACGACGCCGGAGCTGCGGTCCGTCTACTGCTCGCCGCCCCCGGAGAGCTGGGGTGCGGAGTCGCCTCTTGGGTCCCTCAGGGAGTAGGAGTCCAGGCCGGTGCCCCCCGGCCCCGCTTCCTCCCGATCGTTGAAGCGGAGGGGAAGGAGGTTCCCCGGGACTCACCTCGAGCCTGTTGTCAACATTAGCCCCGGGTTTCCCAGCACCAACTCCAGCGCTCGGGCTCTCCCCTCCCCTCCCCCCCCCTATCTCGCAGCCGAGGGCCCGCCTTCCCTCAGCTCCCCCTCCTCCCTCCGCCCGCCGGCCCTCCCGCCCGCCACTCACCAGCGCGGCCGGGCTGCGAATGGGGGCGGGGCGGAGGGAGGAGGAAAGAAGGAAGCTGTTCGGGCGCTTGCCTGATCGAAAACTGTCCGGGTCTCCCTGCCCCCGGCATATCGATGCCCTTAGCTTAACCCCGAAGTGGCGGATCGCGAACAAAGGCTCAGACAGGTGCGCTACAGATAGAGACTTATTGAAATTGTCCACCGGAGAAGAGGAGCCAGTTTTTCAGACAGGCAATGAACAGGGCAGCCACAACCAGCATATCAAGTGAGGTCCCCAGCGGAGGGGAGGAGTGGTCCAAGGACCGGAGGCAGGAAGTGGATTGGTCGCCAGGAAAGGGAAAGCGCCTGAATTGTAGATGCGCAGGCGCAGGCACTTGGCGGCGGGGGGGGGGGGGGGGGGCTAGAAGGGGGGGGGGCGGAGCTAACAGGAGGTAAGGAAGGGCGGTGGAACAGTAGGAGAAT